AAGCGAAACGAGGCCGCTGAACGAGCGCGACACATGGCTGGAAAGCAGCGGGGCTTTTATTATGCCACAGTTGAGAGCTTCCGCTCCTTCCGGTCATGCGTATGTGGGGTAAAGCAGTGCTGTTTTATCATACTAGATACATTTGAACGTTCTGTTATAATGCTATTCTGTGCGGTCGTCACAGGTCTATTAAAACACACAACATATTAAAGCGTCTTTGGTGTTTCCATGTTTTCTACAAAACAAAACCGGAAATCGAGGGGTTATGACGTCATTGGCAGGCGACACAATGACACTATGAACACGCTCCGTGTCACTAGTTAAAATTGCTTATTTCTCTGGATTTAAACATTCTTCGAAACATTTGGGATAATGTAAGTACACAAGTAAGCAAAATATATAACACTGTTCTAGTGGTTTTTGGATATTTATTTATTATATATATTTTTGGATATTGAATATGTAAAAATCTTACATATTGTGCCTTTAAGTTTAAGTTTGTTAAGTTGTATTGACAGTGTTTTTGGCTAGAAGCGTTTTTGAAATGAAAAAGTATGTGTACGCTAATGTATTGCACTTACAATGGACATCTGAATGGCAGACGTTGGATTTGGATAAATAACACAAGTAAAAACAAATATATATATAATTTTGTATATATTTTTTCTAGAATTTCATATTTCATAGCCTCATTACATTTCACTTTTATCCAGATGAGGAATAATGCCACAAAAACAGTTCATGCTTGGAGTTTAGTAACATGAGAACTAAGTGCCACAAAGTTCTCAGAAAAGTACACGCTCGTAAAGATGACATGGATTTCAGCTCTCGTCATGTAAAACCAATAAACCTGGTAACTTTAAGGTAGATGTAAGGATAAGATGTAAGTGATGTAACAACTTTTACATAGAGACAATCCATCTAAGGGAATTACGTCAGAAACAACTAACCAAAAGTTCACCCATACAGAAAAACACTTCCACTATTTTAAAATCCTCTGGTACTCTTGCCCCATAGACCTCCACTGTAAAAGCACTGTAAAAGTTTTACAAACTGAGGGATAAGTCATAATTTTTGTCACTGGCACTCAATAGCATCTCAGAAATGCCTGTGATAATCAAAAACCATGCAAATATGAAATGAGTCAAATTAGTATAATCTTTATAAACAAATTGCTCTAGATAGCATGCACACTTTACTTGTCTTATATCATTAAGGCAGATGCAGTTCTCTCAGAAGGTCACTAGGGTCGCGTTTTTTCAATGCCTTTCAACCCACTGCACAGGCTCTGGCAATTCCCCTTTTGTCCGCTCTCAAGCGCTTTTTCCCTATTTTTTTCATCCTCAGGCTATTCCTCCTAAGGCTACTTTCCCTGCTCTTTCATTTCTCAGAGAGAATACGAAATTCCAGCTATCAGAAACGGGAGATCAAACGAGGCCTCGGCTGAATTCACTGTCAGAATAAAACCATTTGTTCCTGAGGCTTTTACTCCGAAGACCTCGTCCCTGGACCGTTTCCTTCTTCAAGTGTGTGTTTTATGTGGTTTAGGCAGCCACTCCTCTGGGTCAGTCTGCCACTGTTCATTTGAGAAAACATGGTGGTTTACTCCAGAACCTGCTCAGTATGCACAAGACGCGCGTTCAGTTCTCTTAAAGTAGCCCGCTCTCAAACAAAATGAAAAGAAAAACAATTTCTAAAGTCATGTGACTGCCTTGGACTGTTTCCTGACTTGTCTTCAAGTGACCGACATGTGGCATACAAGCAAGAGAAATGCATTACCAGCACAGGATAAGAGCAGATTGCATTTACTTTCTACATCCATTAACACTCAGGACTTAACACTTAATTCCTGTAGCTCAATCAGTGAAGCATAGGGCTAACAATGACAAGGTTATGGGTTCGATTCCCAGGGAAAGCAAGAACGGATGTGTACACTGAATGCAATCTAAATTGCTTTGCATTAAACTCTTAGTTGAATATTCTTCACGAACGCCTTGCGTATAAAATGAAGCAGCAAACAACACTGTAATAGAAAAACAACAATATTGTATTTCATTAAAAATTTACAAAAGATATCTACATGATCCAGCCTTGTAAAAGGAATATGTGTACAACAGGACAGTTTAAACGTATTTCTGTATATGAGTTCAACAATCCAAGATAATCAGTTGTGCGGTTTGCTCAGAGAGTTTGGTTCAGACTTGAGGGTCGCAATCTCTTTAGAGAGCTGTTATGTTCCTGTGATTCCATTCAGATCTTCAGTAAATCAAAGCAAAATTAGGGATTTTTGATTCTGAACTACACTTTCAAGTGTCAAGTTTTACATTTCATAATATCTTGTCTGCATATTCATTTGGAACCTCTCTCCTGTCTAGTACAAACAAGGATAGGAAGCATAATATTACATTTAATTTACAGAATATACAAAACATCTTCATATCCATTGAAGAGGACAGAAATGATACAGTCCCATACTGCTAGAATAAAGTAATTCCTGCATATGCTTGTGCACAGCAAGGCACTTGTTCCTGTGTTCATGTCATCAATTCAGAAGTCGTATAAAAATACAGGACTGTCGCTTATCAAATTCTCTGTCTGTTCATATGTGCTGTACATACACTGGTCTAAGGCAAAGTATGGCTTCTTGAACAAAACAAAAAGATGCTACCAAAGTTTAATACTATACATAATACACTTTTAAAAAGCATGTAAAAATGTTTACGCAATATTATGTCCTTGTTCAAAGTCATACACCTTAAAAGCTGTCTCGTTAAATCTTGTGCTTTACTTCCTGTTTTTCCTATGATATCATATTGAGGAACTTGCTCTCCTCTGCGAGCGCAGTCAGCATGGAGCTCATGTCTCCGATGGCCATGTTGCCGATTCCCGCTGGTACTGGGGGCAACGTCATTGAGTTCCTGGGCGTGGTGAGACGGGATGAATTCTGGGATAGGCTGCGGAGGAGGGTGGGGCTTAAAGTTCCGGACATGAGACTGGAGTGATCGGCATCATCCAGCATGGCGTCAAAGTCGATCTGCGGATGCTCTGCTCCGTTTGAATCCACTGTGCTGGAGACCTGATTTGTTTCAGGGGAGCCCACAGTGGCCATGGCTGCACTCTCTGCATCCGCCATTCCCAGACTGTTGGAATCGAACATGTGAATCTGCCCAGTGTAGAACATGACGTTGGTATTTGTTCTGTTGACACCCACATCAGCTGATTTTTTGGGACTGGCCTCGGAGGTGTCATATGTGGGGCTAAAGTTGGATTGTGGGTAACCAAGTTGCTGCGCTGCAGTTGGTGTTGGCCCTGTGAGCTGCCGGCTGTAGGGTTTGGGTTCTGTGGGTGGCCTTGGCTGTAGCAGTCCGTGGTTTCCGTTCAGCGCGGGATTCTGGGTCGGAATACCATAGCCTTGCTGGTTGATGTTCATCTGGGAATAATTTCCCTGATTATTTGGAAAAGTGGCATTGCTTTGTCTAGCTTGTACCCTGTTATTCTGGACGCTTCCAGGCTGGGCAGTCAGCGTTTTAACAGACGGACTCAGCAAACCTACACTGATGTCATTTGAAGCAGAACCCTGATGGTAACCATGCAGAAAGTTAGCTTGCTCTGTGTTAGCCGGGCGTAGTGGTTGCCTCTGGTTGATCCTCTGGGAATTAAACTCGCTATTCCGTTGCACGTGACTCTGCTGGGCAGCGTGAGCGAAGTTGTGACTCATCAGCCAAACTTGTTGGTTGGAGTTGACGTTCTGAAAGGGACTGAGGTTTCCCCGCCCTGATCCCTGCTTGGTTTGGCCGTGAGATGAATCCACTGTTCCTGAACTGACCTCATTCCACTGCACCGGCATCTGGTTCTTAGTGTCACTGGGGGAACCTGGAAACTTCTGCTGGGAGCTTGGAGCTGCAGTTTGTTGCGTTACGGCATTCATGTTGGCCTCCACCAAGGCTAGCCGTCTCTGGTAATGGGAGCCAAAGCTGTGGATGCTCTGTCCAGGGTGGTGGCGGTATGCGGTCCCTACATGTTGGACAGAATCTCCATTTTGAGATGTAAGGTACTGAATGACATTATCAGGCAACATCACTGCATCATCAAGACCATTGTTTTGATTGTCCATATCACTGGCCATGGTTTCCATCGCCACATTCTCAGAAATGCTAGGAGGTCGGGGTGGATATGGGTGGCGGTTTACATTACCTTCGGACTGGCTGTTGATTTGTGAAAAGTGTCGATTAGATGTAGGAGGGTGTAATGACTGATAGGGGTTCACATTGGACATGCTGTTGTAACGTTGCTGGAGGGAATGCTGCTCTGTGCCTATTCTTCTGACTGGGTCGCTCGCTCTTCGAGTGATGTCTCCCGTCACCTCATGGGGCAAGACGCTACGGTGAGCATAGCAGGTGTCACTACACCTTCTGGGAACTGAAGGGGGATGGATAGGGAGCATGGCCATTTCATGGGAATTCCCTAACAGGGCCATCCGAGTCCTCAGGCTCATGCAGTCCATATTAGGAAGAGGGGTGGGTGGAGCACCTCCTGTGGCAGCAGCATACTTGGCTTTGAGTCTGTAGTGTTGGGCAGGAGTCAGACTGAGTAAACTGTGGAGTCCACTACATTGGCTGGCCTCGCTGGACCTTCTAGACAAATCGGTGGAAATGGGGTCGTAGGAGTCGGCCGAGCTGATGTTGTTAATACGGCCACCAGGTTGCGAGGTTTGGCTGGACCGGCGGCTGGAATAGCAAGGCGAGATTCCAGATGAACGACGGCTGAGGGTGTAAGCTGAGCTCACAGTGCTGGCTAGGCTGTCACGACGCTCCACCAGCTGACTCAGAACCGTAGTCTCTCCAGGACAAAGGTCACCCAAGCGTGGGCTGGAGATGGAAAGCCCTGGATCACACAGACCGCCTGAACCTTCCAATAAAGAACCTGCAGCAGAGAATAGCTGAATTTAGAGAAATAAAAACTGAATTTGGGGGATGCATCAGTGATGGAGATGTGATCAAATCATAGTTTTCGTTTCCTTTTGTTTACTCACCAGTATTGATGGGTGGAAGCTTGGTGCTGGGGGCAGGAGGAGTTTGGTTTGCCCAGGAGCACGAGTCCCTCACTGACTTCAGCCTTTCCTGCTTCAGGTGTGTGAGTATGTAAGCAGGGTTAGCGTTCTTCCGAAGATGGAGGCCCAACATCCCTGTGGAGACGGTGGAATCCACGAGGGGCACGTCGTCCAGGCTGCTCAGATCTCCCATGATGCCCCCGCTGAGTCCCATCAGCTCTACTCCACCATCATGGTGGGAGGCACTGCCAAGTGGTGACGGCTCGCTGCTACATGATGATTGACCACCAGGGCTGGACTGATACATCTGAGGGGGACAGATGGAAAGTTTGATTACCCAAGAATCTCAATGGAGAGAACGACCTAAAAGGGACAGAATGCAAACACAGCAACATGCAAACACACGACCCTTACAATCACTTTCCCAAGTGTAAATTGCAAATAATGAGGTTTGGGAAAACACCCTTCCTCTAGACACATCCCATATCTTTTTCATCCCCCTCACGATCTTCTCAGAAAGCTAGGTTAAGTGCCTGACAAATCCTTATTTCCTATGGCAACCTCTGTGCATTATGCATGAGGCCTGGCATGAATACACAAAGGGGAATGCTCTCAACATAAATAAGGTACGCACGTCTTTGTATTCACGTCATTTGACAGCGCATCCCTTGAATGAAGCAAATGTATTCTGTCCCCACATGAATGGGGGAGCCGTTCTTGATCACAGCTTGATCACTGGCACTATTTGTTCAGGACACAAAAACAGTCCCACTGATATCATATTAATCCACTAATGGCTTTTATCCTTGAGTGCCGGGCGACAGCGTTAGATCTCGGGACTGTGGGGGGATTGGGCTGCATTGTTGGGGTGGAAGCCCATGGGAAATTAGAAGCCCTCTGTGCGCCAACAGATCTCAGACAATTACACAATAAAGGGGTCCAAATATTTTGATGCAGTGATGAATTCAACACCCAAATATCTTTGACAGAAAGAGGTGTACTATCATATTGTTTCCCGAATTTGATTTTACAGCTTTTTTTTTTTACACTGTGTGTGAGCTTTTAATGATTTAACCCCACAGAAAAAAAGAACAGATTAAACATAAAAAAGAGAGAATAATGTACAAGACATTTACCATGCATACTGTAAATGGGCAGCTGACATACACAGAAACATCGAAATTAAAAAAATGTGTATAGAAATTAAATTTAAATATGCTGGGAAACTGGAAACAATTTTAAAAATGGACTGGTCATGAATTTACATATTACCCTTAAAACATCAATTGGCGTCTTGTTGAGTGACTCAAAAAATCAAGTTCTAAATGGCCAATCTGTTGAGGATCCTTGAAAATATTGCGAATCAGGACACCAACAGGAATTTTCAAACTTGTTAGTTTGAAAAGAAGATACATTTGTAATGTATGTGCAGTTACTTTCATATTCATTTCCTTTACACAAATATATTTTGATGTTGGAAAAAAGGTCAAAATCCTGTCATTTGTCTACTGCCCAATAAAAATAATGGTGGAAACCGACTGATATTAAGACATTAAAACAGAATCCGCGCTCACCTCAGTAAAGTCTGTCCTTACGGAAAGTGTATGGGAGAGAAACAGGAAAGAGATAGCAGGAAGCACATGTAGAGAGAGCGGTTAAAGATGAACAGATCTCTGCAGCATGCTTTGTTAGTTTGTCTGGATTAGCATAACCTCTGATGGACATTTTAATGTATATTTAATCAGCAATGAATAATATATTTGTGAGTACAGATTACAGGCATGCAAAAAACGACTCTTGTTATTCAAATTACATACATTTTGTTATGCATCCATAAAGATCAAACACAATAGTTTTTTGGGCCAGAAACATACTTGTGTAGAGTTTGTTTTGGACCTCATTCACACTAGATCTTACCATAGAGTTCTCCGTCTTTATGGACTTGACCTGCAGATAGTCCTCGACTTCTCTAGTCGTGCTGTTGGCTTCGAGTTTCTCCTCCGCCGTTCGGCCCGACAGCTTGGTTCCCGCTTCGTTCTCTCCATTTTCTTTGGGCGGATGAGGTCGGGATGGAAGGTCACCACGTTGTTTCTTGGTGACGTGAGCTTCGGGGCCGTGGACAGTTTTGACGTGTTTCCGGAGCGAGCTGGGATCGGTGTAGCGTTTCGTGCAGCCCGGGATCTTACACACGTAGGGTTTCTGCAGAGATAAATATCACTCGGTTTCACATGACCCTCTAACAGTCAAATGTACGACTTTGAATTAGAGTTTTATCTCTTCCTGTTAAGTCAGATTATCTTCAAATGGAGCGGTAGATGAATATACAATTAGAGGAATAAATTACGGCGCGTGCGCTGACATACTGATTGTGCAACTGCTAAGCGTTTGTGATGCATGGCTGTTTACAAATAAAGTTGAGACGAAATGATCTTTCTCCCTCCTTAAGCTCGTGATGGATCAACCGAGAACGGAAATGGCGCCAGGTTTCATTTTCTATGCGCGGTCGGCAGGTGGTCTGTTTCTCCGTTGGGGATGTGCTTGATTCTCACTAATGTATTGTGGGTTGCTGTACTCATTAGCTTCACAGCTCATTATTCACGTACACACATTGTGCACACGTTGCCGGTTAATGGGACAGCGTTGGGCGTCCAGGAGCAATCACTACACATGATGAGGGAATGTGTAAACAAATCTAATTCTGGCCTAAATTTGTTAGCGTATGCTGAAAATGGCACATTTACATAGCATTAGGCAGTTAGCAGATCCTTAATGCCACAGTGAAGTAGATTATCTGATCCTTCCTCTGAAGAACGACTAGTGGGGTGGCACATACCCGAAACTCCCGCATGGATGACGTTAACTGATCTAATGGAGTCGACCCACGTCTTCGCTCGGAGTTTATAGGAATATTTTGTCATAAGCTGCTCACCCTCATGTCGCTAGTTGATTGAGAGCACTTTGTGACGAACAAACTGAAATTTAAGTTGTTTTTCGAGGTAACGCTCATGGTCACCATCCACTTCCACTGTATGTAAAAGAGCAGCTTAAATGTCACATAATTTGTTAAGATGAAGTCTAGGTCACCCCAATATTAAAAAATAAATTATTTTTAAAGGCAATTAAGCCTATAGGACCATTAAGATTTTGACAGTATTTTCATGATTCACCTACCTTATTATAATTACTATTTTTATTATTACCATGAAAATGTCATTCTCATTACTAAAATGCAAAAATAGAAAAAATATTATTTATTAATTTACTTTACAAAATATTTATACACCATGATAGCATATCATATTTAATTTCAATTAACAATTTATGCTTATTTAAATAAAAAACATTTACAGTATTTTGATTGGCTGTAATACAGTAAATTATGAAAAAATAAGAAGTCATATATTTTTATTAGTAAAATATTAGTTATTTATTATATTTATTATTAGTTAATTAATATTATATTTATTATTAGTAAAATATTTATATTACTTATTACTTTACTAAATTAAATATACATCATGGTAGCATTTGTTGTACTGCTGTTTTATTTATTTTCAATTAACATGGTATGCTTATTTAAATAATGTATTACAATATTGGCTGTAATACAGTAAATTCTGAAAAAAGTAAAAAAAAAAATAAAAAAATCAATGCAAAATATTACTTTTTAATATTTACTAAGATATACATTAAATTATACATTATGGTTTGTTATGATTTATACATTTGTTATACTGCTGTTGTATTTATTTATCTTTATTGAAATGTATTAGAGTATTTTGATTGGTTGTAATACAATAAATTATGTAAAACTCAAAAGTCAAAAAGGAAATAATGTGAAAAACACCTTAAAGGTCTATTTATATATAAATATTTGAATATATTTGAAGTTTTAGCATACACACACACACAAAATTATAAATGCAACACTTTTGTTTTTGCCCCCATTTTTTATGAGCTGAACTCAAAGATCTAAGACTTTTTCTATGTACACAAAATATTCTATGTCTCAGGGAAGCTCATCTGCATGCTCGTCGTTGAATGCGGCCAAGTACAGGGATATCCTGGACGAAAACCTTCTCGAGTGCTCAGGACCTCAGACTGGGCTGAAGGTTTACCTTCCAACAAGACAATGACCCTAAGCACACAGCTAAAATAATGAAGGAGTGGCTTCACAACAACTCTGTGACTGTTCTTGAATGGCCCAGCCAGAGCCCTGACTTAAACCCAATTGAGCATCTCTGGAGAGACCTAAAAATTGCTGTCCACCAACGTTTACCATCCAACCTGCCAGAACTGGAGAGGCTCTGCAAGGAGGAATGGCAGAGGATCGCCAAATCCAGGTGTGAAAAACTTGTTGCCTCTTTCCCAAAAAGACTCATGGCTGTATTAGATCAAAAGGGTGCTTCTACTAAATACTGAGCAAAGGGTCTGAATACTTAGGACCATGTGATATTTCAGTTTTTCTTTTTTAATAAATCTGCAAAAATGTCAACAATTCTGTGTTTTTCTGTCAATATGGGGTGCTGTGTGTACATTAATGAGGAACAAAAATTAACTTAAATGATTTTAGCAAATGGCTGCAATATAACAAAGAGTGAAAAATTTAAGGGGGTCTGAATACTTTCCGTACCCACTGTATATATACACAGGTGCATCTAAAAAAATTAGAATATTGTGAAAAAGTTAATTTATTTTTGTAACTTCTTTCAAAGAGTGAAACTTTCATATATTCTAGATTCATTACATGAATTAAATTTTTTAATTTTTATTTGAACGATTAGAGCTTATAGCTCCTTAAAGTCAAAAATCCAGTCAAAAATCACACATTTTTATCTGTTCTAAATGTACCTTCAATTAAAACTTTTCAAGTTTTTAATACTCTAATCAACATGGGCATTGACAAATATGCATGCTTTATGCAAATGTATGTTTATTATTAGTGAAACCATAGTCAACATAAAGCATGAAGACTAGACATGTTTCAAAGGTCATAGATGTTTTCAAAGAACTTGTTCATGTCTATTAGACACATGAAAAAAGAACATAAAAAATACCAGGTTCCCATTACTTGTCTTCCTTTGCACTGAGCAATACTTGCACAAGCCTGTTTAAATTTTCGCAATACAGGGCAGCTCACTTCTTCTGAACATGCAAAATGTACATTATATTACATTTGTTTGCCTCTCTGTGCCAACATACTGTATTTTCATGCAGTCAAATTCTCAATAGTTTTCATTGATATATTTGACTGTTTCTGTCATCAGACAACCGAATGACTATGAAATAGTGACTGAAATGTGACCCATTAAGACTACATAGCTCTCCCTTCCAAGATGTTAATCTGCACAAAAATCCTGCAATCGAGTCGTCGTATGATGAAATCAAATACACATAGATAAAGACAATAACTGTGCTGTGATTTCGGCTATACTTGCATGTAAAATTAGAGAAGCAACATAACGAGCTGCTCCTCTCAGCTGCTCGCTGAACAGATCAGACGCAGAGAGAGGTATGTGTGTGATGGGAAAGCAAGACCTCGTGCTCATGCGGCAGTACCAGCGAGTCTCAGAAATTAAATAATGTTTGTCCATGAAGCCGCTAGATTTGTCGCTAGGCGCTTTTTGGAGAAAAGTCGCTAAAGGTGTCTGAAAAGTCGCTAAATCTAGTGACAAAGTTGCTAAGTTGGCAACACTGTACTTTTCCATTTCTCCAACTATGGACAATGGGTCAAACAGAAAATGCGCGCTGCGTTAATCACGCGTTAATAAAATTAGTGCCATTAAAATGAATTCGCGTTAATGCGTTAATTTTGACAGCCCTAATATATATGTGACCCTGGACCACAAAACCAGTCATAAGGATCAATTTTTGAAATATGAAATAGAGATCTATACATCATCTGAAAGCTGAATAAATAAGCTTTCCATTGTTGTATGGTTTGTTAGGATCGGACAATATTTGGCCGAGATACAACTATTTGGAAATCTGGAATCTGAGGGTGCAAAAAAAAAAAAATAATTCTGAGAAAATCATGATTTTTGGCATAAAAGAAAAATCGATAATTTTGACCCATACATGTTTTTTTGGCTATTTGTACAAATAGCGACTTCAGACTGCTTTTGTGGTCCAGGGTCTCACATATATATATATATATATATATATATATATATATATATATATATACACA